GTTTTGGACCGAAATCACTGGTGGGCTTAGTGTTTTCGATGGGCTTGTTATGTTTAGGCTTTAGGTTAATTGGTGTAGTATAAATATGTTATGTGTATAGCTATTCTAGGCTAATGCGTTTTTGGAGTATTCAAGTGATTCACGATTGAATAGCTATTGGATGTACCTAACAATTGATCAATATAATTGTATGCATTCATTAAAACGTGTTCATAGATTCATCTAATTGTTTGTTTTGTATAGTTGTTTGATTAAGATTCCACATTAACTCAGACAATTGCATTGATACTTTGAGTAGAACCGAGTTTTGGGACTTACAAGTGGTATGAGAGCCTTAAAAACGAATTAAGGTTGGTTTGGTATCAATTGCCTTTCGAAACTTTAATTAGTTTGTGGTGTCTTTGGGGTATATTGAAAAAGAATTAATTGTTCATCGTGTTGTTGTTCTTCATGTTCATCATTTTCTTGGTGATTCGTCACTAATTTTGGAGGATATTGCATTAGAAATCGTTTTTGGTAATTTACCAAATTTTGGGATTCATTGGATAAGGAAACTCAATCAAAAACCACGATTTCGGCTTGATCTCAGCGTTTTCGGCGGCTGAGTAACATTTTCGGTGAAAAGACTTGGGCTTTCGGTTTGTAAGAGTTTTCGGCCAAAACATTTAGTTCTCGGCTAACTGTTTTCGGTGAATCATTTGACTTTCAGGGATTTCGGTCACCTTTGAGGTTCTCGGTCAACATGGTGTTGACTATTGGTGTTTTCGGTCAGATTTTTTTTGGTGAATAATGGGTTCTTCAATCACCAAGAAGGTAAGAGAAACCTCATGCTCTCAATCCTGTGAAGACAAAATAAATAAATACCGTGAACATAATGAATTGTTGGCTAGAGAGGTTTTTGACCTTAAAAACGAAATATATAAAATCAAGAAAATAAATAAACCGCTTAAAGAAAAACTAGAAGCACAAACAACAGATTTAAGCAGGATTAAAGAAGAGTACGACACCAAATGTGTTCACTATCGGATTGCCAAGGAGAAAATTGCAAACTTAACTGCTGAACTTGATGCATTGTAGGCTAAATTTAAGGATGCTGACTTTACTTTTAAGAAATTTGATGTGTCAAGTGAGAAACTTGAGTCTATGATAGAAAAACAATTGAAATGGAAAGACAAACAGGGTATGGGTCTAGGGTACCATAATGTTTCACCTCGTTTCAATGATAACTATACTCCACCCCTTGAAACCAAAGAGAAAGAGACACCTGCACAGTATGGTCAGCCCCTGTAACTGCCCCAATCAAGACTGAACAATCCGACCCAACTGAGAGTATTGATGTGAATGATTCTAATGCTTCTACTTCATGTGCAGATAAAGTAACTGTGCAAGATGGGTTCGAGCAGAACAAAAATAATTCTAGTTCTGCTGAAACTGCCTCAGAAACTTGTGATAATAATAATCCCACTGTTGAAAATTCCAAACCACAAAAACTTGTTAAAAAGTCTAATAAATGTGCTTGTGATTGTGGAAGGTCTTTGAAATAAATTTTGTTTGGACAAGGACCAAGTCACAATTCTATTTATTTGAAAAGACAAACTTGTTTCAACTGTGGGACTCCCGGTCACATTGCTAGAAATTACCCACATCGTTCATATGTTCCCTACTATAAACATGGTTGGCAGAACGTGCCAAGAGGGAGATCTTCCACAAGAAATCCTTCGAGGTCACGTTCAAGCAGTGGTGATTGGAATGCTAAAATGGCCAATAATCAAACTTTAGAGGCCAAAAAGGGCATGTTGGACAAGAAGCCTAATTTGAGAAATAGTTCAGACAGCTCGAGATCGGTAAGGTCAAAGTCATCTCAGCAATCGGTCTCAAGCTCAAAAGCAAGTGCTGAAACATCCATCAAACTAAACAGGAAAATGGTTAAACCCGACTATAGATGGGTACCAAAGGTTTCAATTCCCAAATCACCTAAAAATTCTAACGTCTCTTCATTTTCTGTGTTTGATAAACAGGATATAACTTGGGAAAGAGTATCATGTGTTGATGGTAAAGGTCAATCCAGTTTCAAAATGGACTGGAATCCCAAGACCAATTGATTCCGCACTCTGTGTCGGAGCAGCTATGGAGGAATATCATCAGACTTCAGTACGTTGATAGTGCTTGTTCTTGGCACATGATAGGGGACATCTCTCTTCTGCATGTCATTTAGAATTTTAATGGAGAGCATGTGTCCTTTGCGGGGAATGAAAAGAAAATATCACAAATGGGGATTTCTTCAATTGTTGAATTACGGTTTGAATTTTCTGACTCTTCTATTCTCTGTGATTATAATGCTCATTTTCAATTGCCCAAAAACGTATTCTTCAAAACCAAGCTCGTGCTTATTGGATTTCTTAAGATGATATGTTTCGAAAACTGAAATTTCTTTTCATTTTTATTTAGTATTTCTTATTTTCTTCCATTTTGATTTATTTTTAAATTTTTTTGGTGTCAATATTTTGGGAAGTGATATGAGTTAGTGATAAAGGGCAAACAAAATACGTGTAAAGCACTGAAGCTGAATTGTATAAACTCTGTGTTCAATTTGTTGGTAGGAATAAAGGACTAAAATTAATAGACTAGACAATGTAGACTCATTTGAACTTAGAAAACTTCATTTGGACTGACAATACAACGCTTGGATAGGCTTAACAGTAAAATAGACAAGGAAGCCTCTGACATAAATTGAAGATAACTATCATCTAGATTTGTGGCTCAACACTTCATTGACGTATGGACTCGTGTCCTTAATTTTGGTATTGATAGGGAGTGACTGGGGGGTTCTGATAATTTGGGTCTGTTTAAAATCATTTTTTTTCTTTCTTTCTTAGTCAGCCATATGTTGTCCCCTTTGCGTGATCGGAAGATCCGACCTGGGACACAACATATGCACTCAGATGATGTTTGCTGCTCCTAAGTCAGTATATTGACTCCTACAAATATCAAATATTTTACTCTCTATGTTAATCATATGTTGTCCCCTCTGCGTGATCGGTAGATCCGACCTGGGACACAACATATGCATGCCACAATGATTATCCACTCACCTGAAGTAAAGGATTCTAAAGAAATTTCCTTGATTACAGGGGTATGCCATGAAGTGGGGAACATGTTCTAGTGTACTAACATTAACTACACCCATAACTAAAAGGCTGACCGGTAGATATTACTGGCTAAATTTAAGTGGACAACAATATCCCTGGTCGCCGTCAGACAAAACGGTCTATCTAGGAATATGGTAGTTGTATATTGTCACTCACAATCAGTCCTGAAAAGGTTCTTTGTGTTTAAGTGGATCACAATATCAATGATTGACCATAGTTTTTCATGAACGTGTGTCACTCATAATATGGTAGCTCTATAACGTTTGATCCCAAAAGGTTTTGTTATGGATTACATTTTTATTTTTATTTAAATTTGTACATATTTTCATTGTTATGCACAAATTTAGGGGGAGAAATAATAAAATTAAAAAATTAAAAAATTTAATTATATATATATATATATATATATATATAATATATATATATATATAATATATATAAATTATAAAAAAATTTAAAATTTTTGGTGTGTTTAATTTTTAATTCTCATTTTGGTTTTTGAAACATAAAATCGAAGGAAATTGTTTATTAAAATTTGGGTGATTTTGGGCCGAAATCGTTGGGGTGGGCCATATGGGCCGAAATCTTTTAGGGTATATATTCCCTATTTTCGACTGATTAGGAGGGTTTACCACCGGAAAAATCCCAATCCGCCATTGTTGTCTTCACTTCAAGCTTTTTCGAGTTTTCTGAAAAATCTGCCTTTTTCGGTGTTTGTGTTGCAAATTCGTTGGTAAATCAGGTAGATTATCACTTTTCGATCTCAGCAATGGTGTTTTAATTGTTTTTGGTGCACTCGTCTTTCACAGATTTACAGGTTGCGATTGGTTTTGACGAGTTTTTCCGATGAACAGTGTTGAATCTGGTTTCGGTGAGAGTTCGGGTTGTCGGTTCAACCCGGATTCAACCGAAATCGATGAAGATCCGATCCAATTTGATCAAAATCGGGGTTCTCGGCCGAAATGACCCAGCGTTGACCGAAAAAGTCTGGTCAAAAGTATTTTGACCAAACTCGTTCAGTTTTAACCGAAATCGATGGAAACTTTGACTTTAACCGAAAACGCCTGAAGTTTTGACTTTGACTGAAATCAAATTTTAAACTTAATTTAATTAATTTTAAATCAATTCTCACTTGGCTAGTTTGGTGCAGCTAAATGGCAGAGCAGATTTAATTTGTAGACTCTCACAATGTTGTTGGATATCTTATGGATCCACCTGCTGCTCATCAAGAATTCAAATCCATGATGGTGGGTTTGAACAGCTGCAGGATTTTATGCTCTCCGTGCTAATCCAGTCATCCACAAAGACCTGATTACTGAGTTCTGGAAAAATGCCTCAATCATCAAGCAGGGAGCTGATGGAGCTGGTAGTGTTGAATCGATGGTGAAGAGAACTCAAGTAATTATTTATGAGCAAGTTATCCGAGAGGTGCTTGAATTTGGTGATGCATCTGCATTTCCAATTGAGTACTTCATTGATCAAGTGAAGGAAGTTCTTGAGAAGATGTGCTATGAAGGAACTTATCCTCCCACCATCAAGAAGTTGTTTCCACCTTACTGGAGGTTTCTGGCACACTATTTTGTGAGTTGCATTTCTGGAAGGAAGGGAGGATCTGATGAAATCAGTCAGACTGCGACCTCATCTATTGTCGCTTTAGCAATGAACTGGGATTACAACTTTTCAAAGTTTGTTTTTGAAGAAATGAAAAGCAACCTCCAGGGAAAGAAGAAGGGCATGTTCCTGATTTATCCCAGGTTCCTTCAAATGATCCTAAATGAAAAATACCCACAAATTGAGAGAGCGTCTGATGTTTTAGACATGAAAGCTTTGGGTCCCAACACCTTTGGACTCATGAAGCAATCAAGAAAAGCTTCCAAAGTCGCCTATCAAGGATTGAAGGAGTTGGTTAAGTTTGCTGAAGTTGAAAACTCTCCTGCTGCTAGTTCCATTAATGTTGAGGTTGCCGAGGAACACGTGGCACCTAAATCAAAATTCCAATTTTCATTTGAAGATATTGAAGTATCTGATGATGATGAAGAAGAGGATCAAGAAAAGGGTTTGACAGAGAATGAGTTTGAAGATTTCCTACAAAGTATCTCAATCTCTGAAGAGGATGTGGCTGTCACACCTTCTGCTGTGACTGAAAGAGATCGTGACTCAACTATGCAATTTTATTCACCTACCCCTGAACAGATGGATGCTCTTATTGTTGATCTTCAGCGAACTACGAGGAAGCCTCCCCAATCAGCTACTGTTACAACTGAACCTCCATCTGAGAGTGATCAAGATGATTCAGCTCACGTTCTACTCCCGAGGAAAAGAAAAAGAATAGATCCAAGACATGGAGTGCTTATCACAGACCCTGTTCAAAATGTATCTACTTCGATTGAACCTAGTTATGTGGCCCAAAACATTGAAAGCACATTCACTGAGTCCTCTCCAGTGATGCAAGAGATTTCAAGCCTGTTACCTGAATCCACGCCTATGGATCAGGATTTTGAAAGCCCTATTGTTGAACAAGAAGTCTTACCTTCAGAATGGGCTCAAGCTTCTGGAAGCTCCTTTGAAGCCTCTGAGTTGGATATTTCAAAAGGCAAAAGCAAGTTGTCTGAGTCTGAATTTGTGAATGTCGCTCTGCTTTAGAATAGAGTTTTTGATTTGGAATAGAGCTCAGCTGAAAAGGATTTGATTATTGGAAAGCAGGACATTAGAATCAGTGATCTTGAAAAGGAGAACTCCATTAAAGATGCAAAGATTTCAGAACTTCAAGCAAATCTTGGTGGTCTAACTGCTTTATTCTTTGACCTGAAACAGCGCTTACATCAAAAGTTCGGTGATGAATTTCAACCTTTAAGCGCTGAAGGAGAAAAGATTTTTGCTTCTAGTTCAGGTGTTGCTGATCTAACTTCTCAGCCTACAAGTGAATGAGTTGTAAGACCTGCTCCAGATGCTAATCTTGATTCATTTCTATCTTCTGGTCCTTCTTCTGCTCAAGAAAGAAGAAAGAAGAGAGAAGCAAATCAGGGTCGAGCAGCTAAAATGGAAGATGTTGGTGATGAAGCATTCAGACCAAAATGCTCCAGGTGATCACCCTGAGATGTTTTTCAGGGAGACTGGGAAGAAATTCACCAATAAATATGGAGATCGTTCTGGCATTTTGATGTAGGGATATGATGCTGATAAGAAAATGTGGATCGTAAAGCGAAAGAGCAGACGAATTGAATATTATGAGAAGAAAGTCGGCTTCTTGTCCTGGACAAAAGTTGATCTTTCTGAACTCATCCACGCTCCTTTCCACAATCCAACCAATGATCCCATGGCCTGGTCTTTTAAGAGGTTTCTTGAGGATAAAGCTAAAAATAACTTTGAAGGCATGAAGACTGCTTTATCGTTTACGAAAAAGGCCAAGAATGTCATTGATCCTCGCACTAATAAAACCATGGTGAATGTTATGTGGCCGCCTATAAAGCAAGCTAAAAGGATTCCGCTTCCCAAACGTTTACCAGAAGGCACTTTGGATTCAATGCAATTCTGGGTTTATGATGAGGCTACTGCATTAGCAGTGATCAAGCTGAAGAAGAGCCAGTATCGCATTGTTGATCCAAAATACTTGTTGAAGTTTTGTGAACGTGATATCCGAACTTTGTCAAACTTTCAAATAATTATTGAGAATGAATTGTTTGAAGCTGCTGCAAAAGCCTTCACCGGAATGGTAGCTACAATAATTGACAGGAAGCTGTGGGCAGGGGCATTCGATCAGGCGGACGTGCATCTCGTGGAGAAGCCTTGAAGAGCACTAAAAGCAAAAACCAAGGGGGGGATTGTTGGGCTATATTTTGTGGTTTATGCTTTGTTTTTGTATGAAATATGTGTTCTCGGTTTTGGACCGAAATCATTGGTGGGCTTAGTGTTTTCGGTGGGCTTGTTATGTTTGGGCTTTAGGTTAATTGGCGTAGTATAAATATGTTATGTGTATAGCTATTCTAGGCTAATGCGTTTTTGGAGTATTCAAGTGATTCACGATTGAATAGCTATTGGATGTACCTGACAATTGATCAATATAATTGTGTGCATTCATCGAAACGTGTTCATAGATTCATCTAATTGTTTGTTTTGTATAGTTGTTTGATTAAGATTTTGCATTAACTCAAACAATTGCATTGATACTTTGAGTAGATCAGAGTTTTGGGACTTACAACCTTTGAGCTTAAAATCCCAAACACAGTCGACATCATTCGAAACCAAAAATTGATTCTAACTTAAAATTGACTTTCACTTTGACAATCGATCCTTCATTCTCAGCCTTCCCATTTGACATCGACCAGTGAACATTCGACTTCTATAACATCATTTAAGTGTCGAACGAACTTCATATCCAGTCTTCGATATCAAGAACATATACTCAACCAATTTTCGAAATTAATCCCCAAATCATGTATGATTTCGACATCCATAGCCCAAATACAACTTGTACAATCCAATTTCACCCTTAAATTCAAAGAATCACCCTTGAAAATCTGAGTTTGACTTTATTCAAGTTTGACTTTTTGAAGTCAAAGATGAACAAACATGAAATTGATGATTCTAATACCAAATTCCAGATCAAAAAATGGTTATACCACCGTTCTTCACCATATTCAAGTGTTCTTGATCAATTTCTTCAAAATCAAAACATTAATTGACAATTCCTTGTTCATCATTGGCTTGTTAATAGCACCAAGCATATACAACCGATTCATAAGTCTAGATTCAAGAACAAACTCTAATAGATTATCAGTAACGTGAAAAGAAATCGAAAATCATGATCGATATATATATTATTGAGACATGAACATTAGATTGTGTATTCGTGAAGACTGAAGCAATTACGACGAACTAAATAAGATACCGAGTCAAAAAGTGAGTTTAATGATTTTTCGTTTCAACCTATTAAGATATTGGATCGAATCGACGTATGGACTCAATTCTAATGAATTGTAACGAATTCGTAAATGGATTAAAATGAATAATGGGCTTAATAATGGATGAACAGTATTATTTCGTGATTTGGGCTCAATACGAATTCGAGTATGAACAGTAGTCATAAAATGATTTAATTCATTTAGAATTAAATTTAGATACCAATGAGCAATTGCAAAAATTTGAGAATTGAATCGAACAAAAGAAATATGATTTGATTGGGCTTGATCAATGAAAAAATTATTGGATCATAATAAATGAGTTTTTCAAAAAAAAATTGATCCAATGAGTCAAAATGATCGAAAATTCAAGAACGCAAGCACGAATCAAATAGATTTAGAGAGATCATCGAGAGACTCACCATAAGCGTTCCAATTGTGTTGAATGTAGCCAAACCGAGAACTGTTTCTTCAAAAATCGCTTTGATTTTCGAAGACCCGCTCTGATACTAATTGATGTGAATTATGAGCATTTGATTTGGCATGCGAAATTAAAGAACACAAAGAACACGGTGATTTGGGTGCTAAAAGATGTATTCGATCATAGTAAATGAGTACAAAAAGGGTACTAGACTAGAACTTCATAAATACCTCACTCACTAGTGACTATGAACTACACCTCTCAAGCACACCTCTACAAGTGGTATGATACCCACTATATATAGAGGTGTTTACATTTCTCTCTCTCTCTCTCTATATATATATATATATATATATATATATATTTATCTATCTCGTGTCATAAGGCAACACTACCACATGCAAGTGGGTCTACAAGAGTCAAACCATTACAAAGGCATTCATGCATAACTTTGCACCCCAACTGTAACATCCATAAAAATCAGGCCAAATTTAAACTTTTAAAACAATTCAAAACCCATGATTATTACAAAACTTGTTTTCAAAATAGTATATAGTCAGAGTATCCCAGAATCAAAACATAAAATCATAACGTGTGAGGAGCGGTACGATCATGCCTTCGCCTTCCCGCGATCATCAGAAGTACCTGAAACAATAATCGATAAATGTAAGCTCAAAGGCTTAGTGAGTTACCCCCAAAATACCAACGCCATAAAACATATCAATAACATATAAGCAAACAACTTGCATAATGAGTCATCAGTCTGACTGGACCGAATCCCGGTCCTCAGTCTATCTGGACCGCTCTCCGAGCCCTCGGCACGTCTGGACCGCCCTCCTCAGGGCCTTTAGCCTATCCGGACCGCTCGCTGGGCCTTCGGCCTGACTAGATTTTCCCGGCCCGGGCATGCAGTCTACCCGGTCCGCCCAGGGTGTCTTGGCCTACTGCACACAGCACGACCTGCCTCAACCCTTTCCCCAAACCAATAAACATGTGAACATAAACATCATACGCTAGCATGCGATATCAGATAATCATACCGATCTAACAGATCACTAATCATGGCAACCATCCTATAACCAGGATACTGATCTAACCGATCTCTTAATATAGCAACTATCCTACAACCAGGATATCAATCTAACGGATTACTAGCATAGCAACCGTCATAAAACCAAGATGAAATCTAACATATCAATAAAATAGCAACCATCCTAAAACCAGGATGTAAATCATAAAGGGTCGGCCTTGGTGCCTTAGACCCTGTTAATATAGTGAGAATAACTCACCTCGCAAGAAGCTCAGGATGATACTGTCAACTCTTCCAAATACAACTCCAACCACCAACACCTATAACCACCAATGGTCCAATCTCATAAATTCTCAATTCACTAAAATACCTTCGGAAGTCAACTGGTCAACCCTTGATCAGAGTCAAGGTCAATGGTCAATGGTCAACAGTCCATGTCGACCTACTCGTCGAGTGCAACTTGCCACTCGTCGAGTTCTTTAAAGATTCTTGAATCACTCGACTCGACTCGCCGAGTTCCCAACTAACTCGCCGAGTCTATGCGCGTTCAAGTGTTGGAAAACCCTAACTGACTCGCCGAGTCATCTCCCAGACCCGTCGAGTCCATGCATGACCAATCAGTCAAAAACCCTAATCGACTCGCCGAGTCGGATTATCCGACTCGTCGAGTCCATGCAACCCAATCCATGTCTAGATGATTTTGAGCCATTCCAGTGTTCCAAACACTTGATCTAGCCTCCTAAGGCATGCTTATCACGTAAAGTTGCAGACTTTACGTGCATGCAAGGCTCTAAAAGCTTAAAACTATAAATCCAAGCTTGGAATGACATTTGTTCAAAAGGGAAAGGTTATTACTTGCTACAACTGGAACTTTATAGCTATAAGGGTTAAGATAAGCTCAGATCTGAAGTTGCAACTCCAATTCATGGCTCATACCCGAAAATGGTTCACAAAAACCCCAAAATGGCCCTAATCTTAGAAGTGAAGAGATCTAAAAGGAAGGAAGGCAAGGTAACGAATTGTTACCTTCCAAATGATGCCAAGAGATAGAAGACTCAGATCCACCAGCTCTTCAATGATCCAAACTTCTTTTGCTTCAGTCCTCCTTCTTCTAGCACACTCTTCCAAGCTTGAAATCACACAAGATGAACACACACACGAATTAGGGTTTTCAGAACTCTCTAGAGGCTGTAAGAGACTTAAGGGAGGCAAATGATTCCTTAAATAGGGTGCAAAACCCCGGAAATTAGGGTTTCACCCTCCAGCTCCAACTCGTTGAGTCACTCTACTGACTCGGCGAGTTGGTCACTTAAACACGTGGCCCCAAACCCGCTACTACTCGACGAGTCAGGGCATCCAACTCGTCGAGTAGACCTTGAAACTTGAAAATTAAAGTCATAATATTAATACCTGAGAATCGGGGCGTCACACCAACAAGGGAAAGAACACGTGAAGAAACAACCCTCCACATCAGACAGTCATTTCATTGCCACAATCGGGTCCCTGACCCCATTAAACTCTGGAGGCTTCATATTGTTGAAGTCCCGGTACTGAAAAGATCTCTCCCCTCGAATCCCCG